TATTATATGTTTTTATTATCTCAACTGCTAATCCGTTTTGAAGATACGGTTAACTGCCGAAGCAAGCCAACCCATCTCATTTCAGATGCCCTGGCCTGCTTTCGCTTACGACCCATCTAAAACCATCGCATTAACAAGGGTGTACAACATCAGTGGTGAGCTTTGAGACTTTGTGATGTTTTTCTAGAACTTTTTTGGCACTCAGGAACAGGTACAGTTATGGTCCCTGCAAACGAGAGGTCATGTAAAAGGGCGTGGGTTGGAACGTAGCTAGGGCAACCTTTTCCACCAATTGTTGCTGGCCCGGATGGCAACAGTTGGTGGAAAAGGCCGCCCTGACGGCGCTCCAATACTTTCCCCATCACACGTCTTCTCGTTTGCAGGGATGATGACTGTATGCAAACCAGTACTTCGTCTGTCAAGAGATGGATGACGTGTCAGTGACGTTCATATAACATGCTAGTGGCGTGTTTTGAGAAATCACTAGTAGGATCTGCCATACACCACTTACGCACATTTTTTCCCGTGCAACTGTTTCTTGGGCGCAGTTCGGCGACCGGGGGGGGGGACATTTTGCACTTTTGCTGCTTCACTAGTTCCGGTTACAAGTCTCACTCTGGTGAAACCTGTGAACTCTTGTGAGTACAGGGCAAGCTCGTCTAGTCACCATGGTAGAACCTGTCAATTCTTGGAAGCTGACGATACGGCTGTCTAGATGGGTCGACACGCGACAAGTCGATGGGAAGTGGCGAAAGTGCAAAAATTCCCCCCCCCCTCCTCGAACCGTCCGCCTTTCCTCATGAAATCTCCATTAGTATGGATCGACGTACTAATACGGAGATTTTAGGCATTCCATCGTTAATTCTCCTGGATTCGTCTGGTCGAGTGATTACAAATCATGGTCGATCATCACTGCTGGAGGACCCGGCCGGTCGCTATTTCCCATGGGGCCCTCGCCCATTGTACGAGCTCAATGAGTACACTGTCTGTCGCCTTAGAGATGAACCATCGTTGATACTTTTCACAGGTTAGCATACAGCCTTGCTGATTGACTTGAACTTCAGTATTCTGATCGATTTTAGAAGGCTCAGCCGATGACATACAGTTCTCCTTGTCTGTGATGGACTCACTGTCAAAACGGATTATTCGAAGAACGAATGAAAATTGAGGAACGACGTCAGGAAGAAGCTGAGAAGAAGAGCGATGAAAGTGCTGAACAAGGCAATGGACTGTCCAAATCAGCCAGTAGCGAAGAGTGCAGGTAAGCGTCCAGCGACCTCTAAAGCGACCTATTTTCTGAGGGTTCTTGCATAAATCATGAATGATTTCAGTTCCACCGGTTCGGATCTGCCCATCCCACCTCAGGCCGATCCCTTGCAACTTTTGTACACAGGCGAGGATCCCATATGTGACCATGTAAGTGTCCATATTTGCCCAGTTCCTTTAAGCTAGCACTTGCGGTAAGAGGAAACGCCCTAAGAACCTTTCACTCAAGACGTGCTCTTTTAGATTCTTGAGTCAATTCTTGGCCTTGGTGACGTAGAGCTACCACTAATCTGCATTGTCGATGGTCTAGCTGGCCATCTATGCGTCTGCGATCGACCGGATGTCTCAGAGGCAGTGCTGGACGAGTTTGTCGCCGAATATCGGGCGGGTAGACTTCAATGGACTCCCTTGCCGGCTGCCGATCAGAACGCGGTTAGTCTTTCACAAAGAAACTTGAATTTTTGAGCCGAGCTATAGTCCATATCACAGCTCTTAGAGGGGCGTGTCCACGGACTCAGGTGGGCGTCCCCACGGAGTTTCATAGGGTGTGGCTGCACCTGCAAGTGTTTGAGCAAAGACGCGTAACCGCACTACCACCTGCGCTCTTTTACACCTAAAGCTTCAACTGTTTTTGTCTCAAATCGTTAGCCCTTCACAGATACGCGACTATCTTCGCGTCCGCGACTGAGTCCGTAGACACACCCATTCTAGGTGCTGTGGTATGGGCTTTTCAATTCCAGAGGTTTTCAAAGCTATACCATGTATCCACAGAAACTTCAAAAGAGGACTCAAGTGTCTCAATAAGTATTATTTTCCAGCCCAAGAGCGTCGGCGGCATTCCGAGCGCCATCATCGAACAAGCACTTATCAGCCATTCTCCATCACAAAATTCTATGGGCGGAGGCGGTAAAGAGGAGGTGAAAGCTGTGTAGAAACGAGCATTTTTGCATTGTGGCATCCCAGCGGCAGCATGAATCCGGAGGTCCATCGATGGACGAAATCGCGAAACAGCCAGGATTCTCCCCTTTGAAGGTTGCCCGTCCAAAATTCTACCCAAAACTACTATCTAAAATACGTGTTTTTATGGACCTTCTTGCTATCCTGACCAACCCTCCTCTCTTGTACTCCTCGAAAACCGCATTTGAACAACGCGTTTTTCACTTCACAATTCAACCGAGTGCTCTTTATTTACGGGCGTGTTTACTATGCTATAAATAGCCGATGTACGAAAATTGTCTTATCCAACTGTACCTGTTTTACTGCCATTTGAAGTTACTGTAACTGACATTATTCATTGTTAGCTATTATTCTCGGTTAATAAATACTGGGGATAAATCCGAAGGCGCAGTTATAATATTACAAGTGGAGGCAGTTTCCGCGGTAACCGGATGGGCGGGGTCATCCCACCAAATGCCATTGTCGGTGGTGCGCTCGTCCTTGAAAAATGGAGCGAGAGACGTATTAGTGAGACAGGCATAGGTGTTAGGTGTCCCCGCCCACGCATCCATCGCGGAATGTGCCTCTTGGGGACAACCCATACTACTCATGTTCTCTTTCAGTTTTATATGTCTTATTTTGACTCGCTGTAGTTCTATGCTTACTAGTCACCGTTGTTATTGGTTATTATAATTTTCATCGCTCTACCTATTACAATCCCGTTTGATTGAATCTTGGCACTATGCATAATTGTTACATTATTTGTAAGACTATTCAATAAATTGAGTAATTTTGAATTGAACTACAATGGCATGAAGAAAAAATTGAAACAGATAACAGGTAATAACACGAAGTCAGTTAACAGGTAATAACATGAACTAGAAAAGAAACTGGCTAGAGTGCACTAATGCACCCCCCCCCCTACTCGGCCAAGGAGGGCGTGGGGGGAGCCGGGCGCTGCATGTGCACTGCTAGGCCAGCTTTCTTTCCTAGTTCATTTATTACCTGTTAACTGAATCTTTCCGTGAAACTACGAAGTTGAAAGTGAATCACTTTAGTCAGGAATTGACAGGTATTTACAAGGTGGCCTGTGTAAGCCTCGCTTAGCACCGTTTGGTGCCCCCACCAAGCCAACTTCGCCGAAAAGTCGTGGGGATGTACAGTGGGACAACGACATACACTGGGAAAGTAGCCAGAGGCAGGAGCAGACTCTTACGTGCCGTGTCCTGACGGTTCCTGGTAAAAAAAGGTCCGTCAAGGAAAAGAAGCAATGATTGAACAAGCTTTGCCGTCCCTAACTAGCGAATTCGCGATCGGGAGGGGGGGGGGGGTTCAGAACATCAGAGCGGCTTCAACGCCCGAGTTGGATGGTTGAAAGAAAGAAAAAGGGCGGGTAGGTCATTTACTGATCCTGCCCCAAGCGAGAGAAGAAAATTCGAGGGGAAAATACGACAAGAAACAGCGGAAAACAGCTTGACAGAAGTCGAAAGTCAAAGAGAACACAGACCAACAGCAAAGAATGGCGGCCTGAAGCACGGAGTTCAAGTTGTTTACCGGTAAGTTAGTCACCTCCGCGCTACGCGCTTAGGGTCAGCTACGCTCCATATCCTGGAGATGGGTAGGGCGTAGCTGCGTACTTCATTTGAACATGGCGTAAAATAAATTTTCATCTGAGACAACTGTTATCTTGTTAGTACTGATCAAGAACATATTATAAATGTCCTAAGACGGCAATATCGCACCAGAAGTATCCATATGAAGCAAAAGTCACGCCCACTCCATCTCCGGGATATCGGGTGTGTAGTCTGGTTCTCTGCGGACAAAGGGGCGTGTCAGGCGGGATGAGTTTGGCGCGGTGCCGAACCCGTTCTTCACCAGCTGTTGAAGCGAGCAAGTGATGGGACTGTATCATATCGTTTTCTACCACCGCTTGTTCTCTGCCAGTTGTTGTCGCATACCCGCTTCAACAAGGCAGAGAAGGGGTTTCGCGCCGTAGCACACTCATACTGCCTGATACGCCCCTTCATCCGCAGCGAACTGGAGTATAAACATAAGTGTTGCATTATCATAGCAATGATTTCACTGTTATGCATGGAATAGGGTATGGTTCATTTCACCTCAACTGAAGCTTCTGGTGAGTTCCTTGAAGTTGTGGTCCGTAGCGTCAAAGGTGTTGGCAAGGGGGGGGGGGGCTTCCCTCATTCTTCGCTGTGAGACGGCCGTCACCTACTATCAATGGCCAAGGTGGCGGCGCTATGCTTTCGACAGAATATTTCAACCTATCGCTCCTCGTGGTAGGCGCAGCACTGAAGAATCGGGGAATCCGTGAAAAGAAAAGGATCTGATGGACATCGATTGGAAGGAACGACCAAGAGGAAGGAGGAATGTTCCCCGAGTTACGATTCTTCGAATCACATGGGATACATGAGATCTCAAACTGTGGGCCGGCATTCACGCAATTTTGCACGCGCCATATGATCAAGCTCTGGCACAGTTCTCTCGAGGTCTCTTTGCTCCTTCGCCCCGATCTATTGAATGCTCTCTTCCTGTGACCTATTCATCTCCGTAGTCTTTCACAGCCACTTTCGTGTTCGTCTCCTGTCCGACCCTACCATCTTGTGGAAAGGCAAATGAACTGATTGGGTATCATTCATAACACAGAGCTTTATCAGCCATAAATCACGTTAGGTTGATACCACAAGAGCGATTAATTTCTTTCTCCTGCTGGCGGTCGTTCT